ATGCGAGCCTTTCAGGATCCTCGCCGGATTCGGGGGAATCTGGGTGGAGGTGGGCGGAAGGGGGGGGACGTTTGAACCGGGGGAAGCCCCGGAGGTTGAAGGGGAGAAAAAAGGTGAAGGAGAAGGCGGACAAAGGCAGACGGGGGGAGCGCGCACCAGAGTCCGACACGGAATAATGTACACCTCGGCATGGACATATCTGTAGCATCTGTTAATGTGAGAGGAATGTAGGGGAAGGGAAGGAGAGGGGCAATCATGCAGTAGCTGCAGATCACCAGACGTGATGTAATTTTCCTCCAAGAATGTCACCTACCCTATACCCTAGGGTCGGAGGCTCTCCTGGACGAATGGAAGGGACACTAAATTTGGTCTGGCAGCAACGGGAACAGATGTACAGGCGTGGTTACCCTCCTAGGAAGAAGGGGAATGAGAGTGGAAGGGACCCAGGAAATAATACCGGGTCGGCTCCTCTGTGTAGATGCATCTTACCAGGGTGTGGAGCTACGGCTGATAAATGTGTATGCCCCGGTACGATGTATGGACAGGACGGAGGTGTGGGAGAGCCTGGCGGGCCTACTGGCCACCAGGAGGCAGGTCATTGTGGGGGGCGATTTTAACTGCCCGTTGTGTCTGGCGGATCTGGTGTCGGTAAAGGGGAGGAGGAAGTTAGATTCCTCTTCCAGGAAACTGAGGGAGTTGATGAAGGACTTTGGGATGGTGGATACGTTCAGGAGGGTGCATGGCACGTGGCCAGGATTCACGTGGGCGGATAAGAGTGGGGGCACACAGTCACGTATCGACTTTATTTTCGTCTCCGACAAGGTGAATGTGGGAAGTGCTGGGGTGGAACCTTTTCCCCTCTCAGATCACAGAATGGTGGTGGCGGGGCTTGTGATCCCAGGTGGGGTGAAGAGGGAGAAGGGTGTGTGGAAGATGAATGTGGGCTTGCTGGTGAATCAGGAGGTGGCGGAGGATTTCACGCGAGCATATACTAGCTGGAGGACGCTGCAGGTGTTCTTTCCTCACGAGGGTGCAGTGGTGGGGGCAGATAAAGGGTAGGATAAGAACGTTCTTTCAGCGTTATAGTAGGAGGAAGGGGGTGGGTAGGGAATTGAGACAGTGGAACGCTAGGTTAGAAAGGCTGTATAGACTGCTAGAGCTAGGGTTCCCGGTGGGAGAAAGGATAGAGGAGTTGAAAGGGAGGGTAGCCTCAGTCCTGGAAAAGAGGACTAGGCAATTAGTGTATAGGGCGAGGGTCAGGGCAACAGAGGATAGGGAACAGTGTACAAGATTTTTCTTTAAGGCGGGTAGGGAGGGAGACAATGAAATGAGGGAGCTGGTTAGTCCTACTAGAGGTAGACAGGTGACGACGGAAGGGATGATTAGTGTAGTGGAAGACTTTTATGGGGATTTGTATAAGAGGAAAGGGATAGATGGGGGGCGGCGGGAGGAGCTGCTGGGGGCATTGGGGAAGAGGGTTGAGAACCCGGAGGCGCTAGAGGAGAGGACTCGATGGGAAGAAGTGGAAGGGGCGGTGAAGGGGCTGAACAAGAACAGGACCCCAGGCCCGGATGGGATCCCAGCGGACTTCTATATAAAATTCTGGGAACTCCTGAAAGAGGATATTATGCAATTTTGTAGGGAAACTCTGGAGGAGGGGCGGGTTACGGACGACATGCGGGAGGGCCTGGTCACATTGATTTATAAAGGGAAGGGGGACCGTAGGGACCTGGGAAGTTGGAGGCCAATAACCCTCCTGAATGCGGACTACAAAATCTTGGCAAGGGTAGTCGCGAGGTGACTGGGGGAGGTGGTGGGTGAGGTGGTGGGGCCGGACCAGACGTGTGCGGTCCCGGGGAGGAGGATTGCGGACACTTTGGTGGTTTTGAGGGAGGCGATTGAAGGCGAGAGAGAGAGAGGGGGTGCCCATTGGGGATCCTAAGTCTGGACCTGGACAAGGCCTTCGACCGCCTCTCTCATGAATTCATGCTGGCGGTGATGGAGAGGATGGGGGTGTGTGGACCCCTGGTGGAGTGGGTGGAGCGACTTTATGGGGGGCTCAGAGCCAGGCTCCTGATAAATGGGGAATGCTCCGGGATCATTCCAGTGGGTTCCGGGGTGCGGCAGGGATGCCCGATGTCCCCAGTACTATTTATCATGTGCATGGAGCCTCTGGCGCAGATGATAAGGAATGACCAGAGGATTAGGGGGGTGGTAATACCGGGGAGCAAGGAGCAAGGAAAGGTGGCCCTGTACATGGACGATGTGGCCGTGCTATGCAGGGACGTAGCATCGGTATGGAGGGCAATGGAGGGGAAGGGGAGGTTCTGCGCAGCCTCCGGATTGAAGGTTAGTGTGGGGAAAAGTGAGCTGATGGTTTATGGAGACTCGAGGCTTTTCAAGGGTCGGCCGCCGGAACTGAGTCTACAAACAGAGGGGATAAAGGTACTGGGGGTGTTCTTCTGTGGGGATAGGATGGGGGAAAATAACTGGGAGAAGGGGGTGAGGAAGGCAAAGGGCTGTCTGGGTAAGTGTGCTGGGAGGCGGCTCACGATGGCCGGTAGGATTATGGTGGTAAAGACAGAAATATTACCATCCCTAAACTACTTGGCGCAGGTTTTCCCGCCAGGTGGGAGGGAGGCTAAGGCCTTGACCTCGGCGATTTTCAGGTTTATCTGGGGCGGAGGGATGGAGAGGGTCAGGAGGGCCGCGGTGCGTCTGCAGGACGGGAATGGGGGGAGGGGTGCCCCAAATGTGGGGTATACCCTGCAATCGACTTTTGTCTGCAACGCGCTGCGGCTGTTTTTCTCTGCGGAGCCGCGGGGCAAGGCAGCGTGCTATATGAGGTATCGGCTGACGTGGCGGTTGCCGGGGCACGGGATGACTGAGATAGGAAGGAGCTCTCCTTTGGACTGGCCGGGGGGCTGGGTCAGCGACGTGGTGGGGAGCTACGTCGGGCAGCACGGCCTGAACCGGTGGGGGGGCCGGTGGGCTCCCAGGGAAGTGCGGGCTGCGGCAGAGAAGGAGGAGGCCTGTGACGAGGTGGCCGGTGCGAGGAGGGAGATGCACGGGAAGATTTGGAGGAATGTGTTGTCGGCAGCGCTCACGAAGGAGCAGAGGGACCTGTCATGGCTGGCTGTCCGGGACAAGTTGGAGACGCGGGGTTTCTTGTACAGCCGCCAAATGGCGCATACCCCCAAGTGTCCGAGGGGCTGCAACGCGGACGAAACTGCATCGCATGTGATGGTGGCGTGCCCTTTTGCCCAGGAGGTCTGGAAGATGAGTAAGCCGTTGCTGGCCCGTTTCGCGCTGTCGAGGGTGACGGCACGGGACGTCATGTGGGGAGAGCTGCGGGGGGTGGGGAGGGAGGACAGGGACCAGGTGTGGGCTGTAATAGGAGCGACGAAGGAGCCGCTGTGGAAAGCGCGAAAGAAGGAGCTGGAGGGGTCCCTGATGTCCCCGTTGGAGACATGTTATGTTGCGAGGAGATTGTTGGAAAGGGTGGTGGAGGTGGACCGGGTGAAAATGGGGCGCGATGCCGCAAGGGAACGATGGAAGTGGCCGCTGCCCAGGGTGGGCTAGGGCGGCCGGGGGGGGGGGGCCTCGCCGGCGTCCGGGGGTGAAGGGGTGCGTGGCAGGAAGGAGAGGCTGCCCCTCCAGTGCTGTGGCAGGAGTGACTCCAGTCACATGGGTCGGTGGCCGAGCGGGGCCTTCATGGCGCGAGCGAGGGGGCGGCCCCTCGGTCTTTGCTTTGTTTTGTTTTTGTTGTCTCCGTTGAGATACTGAATAAAATTTAAAAACCGTAATTACCAGCAAAACGTCGTACTCAAAAATTGTAAATGTTGTGAATTCACTCAACACACCGATGGGCTAAAGTAGTGAACTATTTGTCTTTTGTCAACGTGACACTTTTTTACTGATTGGCCGTGTCGGGTGGTGGAGGGTTACGACACATTTAAAAATAATGCGATCTAACTCAAACACATTTATTATGAATAATATTGGTCGCGAAAGCCTACGTGTTAAAAAGATGGGTACAATATTAGCAATGATTGGAAGGACGTTATTAACCAGTTTAGGTCATAACTGGCTGTGATGTTCCTATCCTACCTACCTATGTTAGCAGTTATTTTCGACTCTTTGAGTTACATTCACTAACACAGCCAACCTTCCGGTGTGTTAGTAAATAGCGGCTTGCCATTGCATCGTCTGGGCCCTAGCCGAGCTTGGCCCCCGCCGAGCTTACATTTACACGCAAATTTCTCTCTCCTACTCGCTCCTACATTAACATTAGCTGCCCCGCCCATCTCTAAACCTTTATAAACAGCTCTCTGATTGGTGTAGACTTACTGCCGGTGTCGGAGCCCTCTCCTACATTAACATTAGCTGCTCCGCCCATCTCTAAACCTTTATAAACAGCCTGCCTCAACAGATTTCCCTCTTTTTCACCTTAAGACGATTGCTTGTGTTGCGATCGAAACGTCGGGATTTAGATTTTTGTTATTTTTTTTCTATCTACGTGGCTTTACCGAAAGACCCAAAGAATCTGAATTCCTGCAGTCACGAAAGCGTTAAGTCAAGATTTGTTTTAATTCATTCCGTCTTGAATGCGTTGTCAGCAGACACGAATTGCCCCTCTAATATATGGGCAGTGATAAAATTAACATAATGTATCATATTCTTAGTTATTTCGGTAAAGTCACGTTGAAGGGAAACAATAAGTCACGTTGAAGGGAAACAATAAAATAATAAAAAATATATAACAAAATATATATATTATATATATTATATTTATATATTTTATTACGAACAATAATTATGAACTAAAAATAATAAAATATATATTTTGTTATATATATTTATTTTATTGTTTCCCTTCAACGTGACTTTACCGAAAGAACTAAGAATATGAATCACTGCAGTCACGAAAGCTTTAAATCAAAATATAATGTATTCGGTTAAAGCACTCAGTGGGCAGAGATTGGGGTATGTTATTCGTTGGTGACGTCATGTCATCTCCACCGCCGCGAATCTTCCGCGTGACGTCACGAAATGCCAAGAGCTCCTCCTGGATGCGTTGCTCGCGAATGATCCGAGGTGAGAAATTCGCATCGTGATGTTGGTTGTTGTTGTTGTTCACCCAGGTACAGCCTCGCTTCTTCCCTCTCTCTCTCTCGTAGCGATATTAATTGAGGAGCGGCAAGTATGGAATCGATGTCCAGGTTGGAACGTTACTACGTGGGGCCGAGCCATGCAGGCCTTGCCTCCTGCCCTTGCCTGACTGACTTTGTTTTGATTCTCTTAAGTTTAATTTGTCTTCCTCTGGCTGACTACTTCACCTCTCAGAGTCTCCTTACTCTCGGTCAGGTTTGTTTTGCTTTCAGGGGATGGGGGGGAGGCGATGCTTCTGCGCGTATTCCCGATTGAGTATATCTGCAGGCCGCTTGTCAACACTGGAATATTCGGACGATACCAGTCCAGACGTTTAATTTTAGTCGGAATGAGACGTCAAAGCATTACACAATTACACTCGCCCACCAACACGCCCTCCCACACGCTCCCACTCATACACTTACTCAACCCACTGTTAGCGAGCATCTATGAAGGCCGGCACGGCACACGAGGCTGAGTCGACCTCGGGGAGGCCTAGGACCAGTTCAGATATTCGTCGCTGGCGTTGGCTGTGAGCGGAATTCTAACCCGGGTCGCCGCGTTTGTGGCACAGCGCGCTAACCACTAAATTGTCACTCATTCATCCACCTACTGAACCACTCGCCCACCCACACACACTAACCACCCTCCCACTCTAACCCACCCTCCCACTCAAGCACACACTCATCTATCCACACACTCTTACCACTGACCGTCCCACTCGCCCACACTCGCTTGCCCACTCACACTCATCCACCCACTCGCCCACTCTCCCACTCATAAACTCACAATCAGAAGTTTATTACCCAAGTAAAGTCCATTGAGATAAGAAGCTCTTTTTCAAGGGCAACTCGGCCGGCAAACATTGAAGCATTCCTTAATTACATATTTACAAAAACAAACTTAATAATAAGAGCAATTATATTTTGATTTAAAGCTTTCGTGACTGCAGTGATTCATATTCTTGGTTCTTTCGGTAAAGTCACGTTGAAGGGAAACAATAAATTAATGAAAATATTTTTATATTTATATATTTATTATTTTATTGTTTCCCTTCAACGTGACTTTACCGAAAGAACCAAGAATAAGAGCAATTATGTTATCCATAAGAGGTGTTTAGGTTAGATTGCGTAAATATTAATGTATCGTTAAACCCGCCACAACCCAACACATCCAATTAGTGAGGTTTGTCACGTAAACAAAACAATGTTCCAACCTGGACAGATTAAGTGCTTGCCGCTACTCAATTGATATCGCTACGAGAGAGAGGGAAGAAGCGAGGCTGTACCTGGGTAAACAACAACTAATATCACAATGTGAACTTCTCACCTCGGATCCTAGTGAGTGGCACGCAGACCGAAACAGAAGGATTTCTCTATAATACGGGTTTTTTGGGTTAGATCGCGTAAATCTGCCCACCACTCAGCCAATTAGTAAGGTTTGTCACGTAAAAAGAACATGCCAATTCATTACTTGTACAGCAAAGTGTTGGAGAGCCAAGCCACAACATTTACAATCTGAGTACGATGTTTTGCCAGTAATTACAACTAGCTTCATCAGACGATAGCCAGATTTGTGGAAAGTCCACCTGTTTCGTTCCTTAAATAGAGGCGTAGTTGTGATGATAACACTTGTGAGCTCTTGTGTAAATTGGGGGGGGGGGGGGGTGGATTAATGAATCAACGTGCATTATGCATGCGCATTATACGAGCCCATTGATCTTGTACTTCCTGTCCAGTGTGTGCACAAAAATAGCCCGACCAATGGTAATCCCTATTGAAGTATGGTGGCCTGTATAGGCATGCATTTTAAAAAATGTATTATTTGATGATTCACTTGCAAGCAGCACTAAGTCTGTAGCTATCCGAACAGTTAACATTTTTATTCTCTCAATTTCGATTGATTTTCTAATTCGATAGATTATCTAATTAGTCTTGATCATTTGGCACGTGATAAATAACACTAGACTACAGCCAAAATGCTTCCGAAATCAATCTAGTCCAACTTTACTAATTCTGGGTCACTGAGAATAAAAATGATGCTTAAAATTGTTGATTGGCTCTAGTTTTCAAGATATGCTGCTGGGTCAGTATATATGACCCTTGACTTGGGAATGGCGGAGGATAAGTGAGTTATAAAGGGAAGGGACCTCAATTTAAACCGGAAATGACTAAAATACATCTTTGACTGGATCTATAAATTAATCTATGACTGGGTTTGGACAGTACTTGCTTTTTGAGCAAAACAATGATTGATGCAATCTGAACCTGGTATTGTGCCATACATTATATGAATTGCATCGTGTTATTCCGAGAAGCCATGGATGATGCAATCATAACTAGCCTTTCATCCCTCTGCTGAATAAATTGCTCTATATCAGCTCTATAAATCATGCAGTGTCGTGCTTTCTTATTTGTCAGTGTTTGATTTTGGAAAGGGACACATTTCTGTTTAGCCAAAGGGAGCAGATATGCCTTGTACTTGTGTGAACAAAGCAGATCACTTCTGCTATGTTTGTGGTGACATGACTTTTGCATCACAAAAGCACAGTATAACCACTATGGTTAAGAAAGCCTATCACCTTTATTGTGGCTGCAAATTGTAGATCAGGACAAAACGTGGGTCCCACACATATGCTGCAACAGAATCATTATCACTTGAGTCAGTCCAGGAAGAGGATTAAACTTTTGGTCCTGAACCATCACGGTCACATGATCCAGAATTTCTCCTATCCTCCTCTGAACCACACCTCATAACACAAGGGGAACTGAAGGACCTTGTCAGGGATTTGGAACTACCCAAGAGTAAGGCAAATCTGTTGGGCTCCAGATTGCAGCAGTGGAATCTCCTGGCAGGTGATGTTAGGGTTACCATGTTCCATAACCGTCAAAAGGATCTTGTCCCATTCTTCATGAAAGATATGGTCTTGTAGCCTGCAACAACATCGATGGTGTGATGGCAGCCCCCAACATCTTTCATGATCCAGATGAGTGGAGACTGTTAATTGATTAATCGAAGATGAGTCTTAAAGTTGTTTTGCTGCGTAATGGCAATTTTTTTACATCAATTCCAACTGGTCATGCAGTCCATATGAAGGAAACCTATGACAACATGAAACAACTTTGAAGGTGCATAAACTATGACCAACATCAGTGGCAGCTTTGTGGCGATTTGAAGGTTCTAGATTTGAAGGTTTCGTGACTGCAAGCATTCATACTCTGTGTTTTTTTTCGGTAAAGTAACGTAGGTAAAATAAAAGAAAACTAAATTAAAACACGACGTTTTGGAGGCAACACAAACTTCCGTGTTCAGGTGGAACAGTCACAGCCGAATATCTGTGTCAAGTGGACAGCTCTGAGACGGCCGGGATTATATACAGGTTAAGGGGGGGGGGAAGAGCCAAGAAGGGACGTGGGTGGGGGGGAGGGCTGAGTTAAGCCGCCTTTGGTTATGCTGCAGGGGGTTCGGGGGGGGAGATTCACGAGTACACGCAACCCACTGAAAGCAATGGAAATGGCTGTACAATTATAAGGCAGACAAACTTTGACTTGGTTTATAACATCTTTTCAATGGTTGATGCTGCAGGGGGTTCGGGGGAAGAGATGCACGAGTACATACAACCCACTGAGAGCAATGGCTGCACATTTATAAGGCGGCTAACGTTTGACTTGATTTATAACACCTTTCCAATGGTTGCTCAATTTGAAACCATCCTCTCGGTTGAAGTTGTGTCTGTGTTTGTATATCTGGATGGCTTCGTGGACAAATCTCTGGTAATAACCAGGAGGTTTGCAGATAACTTTGGTATCAGAGAAGGCAATGTCATGAGAACCCGCTGTGTTGAAACAATCAGCCACGGCCGAAGAATTCGTTCTGCCGTGTTTCAAATATGATTTGTGCTCGCGGATTCGGTCAGAAATATGTCGTTTCGTCTCCCCGATATAGCAGTCACCGCGGGTACAACTCAATTTGTAAACACCGGGGTACTGTAAGTCAGGAATGACATCCTTTACGGATGGGATCAGATCACGGATTTTGTGTACTGTATTGAACCGGACCTGGATCTTGTGTTTGTTTAAAACTTTTGGAAATCTTTTTAGTAACACCTGCTATGTATGGTAATGTGATGATTTTGATCGGAGTATCAGGTGGTTGTTTCTGTATGGTGGGAGAAACAGCTTGGCGGATGGTACGGTCAGAGTATCCGTTCATCTTGAGGGCCAGATGTACATGTTTTAATTCACTGGCCAGGTGGTGTTGGTCAGAAATGCAATGAGCCCTATGGTATAATGTTTTGATGAGAGAGTTCTTTTGAGTCGGGTGGTGGTGGGAATCAGGCTTCAAGTAGGAGGCTGTGTGGGTGGACTTCCTGTAAACAGAATGTCCCAAAGAGCCATCAGTCCTCTCAAACAGAACATCCAAGAATGGCAGCTTGCCATCTTTCTCCACTTCCATGGTGAATTTGATGGATGGGTGTCTGGAATTGTAGTCTAGGAAATGGTTCAATGCTGGGAGGCCATGTGGGCAAATGATGAAAGTGTCATCCACATATCGCTTCCACAGGGAAGGATGAAGGGTGTATGTCTGGATGGCGTCTGATTCAAATTTCTCCATGAAAACATTGGCTATCGCTGGTGACAAGGGGGAGCCCATAGGGGTACCCTCATTTTGTTTGTAGAAAGTACCATTCCAGGTAAAGTAAGTGTTGGTCAGGCAGTGCCTAACCAGCGCAGGGACATCAGGGTTCTGTCCATGTTGGACCGAGTCTTCAATTATTGTTATGGTGTCAGGTACTGGGACCTTGGTAAACAGAGAGACCACATCAAAGCTGACGAAGATATCGTCAGAAGACAGTGCAATGTCCTTGACCATCGAAACCAATTTGGTTGAGTTAAGTACTGCTGAGGTGGTCTTGCCAGTGAAGGTAAGCAGAGTGTCCGATAAAAAAACGGGCTAGTTTGTAGGTAGGAGAGTTGATCGTGGACACGATGGGTCGTAGTGGGGTACCTTCTTTATGGATCTTGGGAAAACCATAGAATCTGGGAGGTCTTGCAGCCAAGGGTTTTATGGAGGAAGTTTGGATGGTTCGATCAAGGAAGTCGAACTAGTGATGATCTTGTTGGTTTTTATCGTTAGGCTGTTAGTAGGATCACTTTTAATTTTTGAGTAGCTTCCATCATTGAGTAGGTCCTGGATTTTGTTGTATGCATTTTTATCCGTAATGAAAGTGGCATTGCCTTTGTCGGCCGAGAGGATGACTATATCATCCCTCTTTTTAAATTCGCGAGTTCAGAGCGCTCGTTTTTGCTGATGTTGCTAATGGGTTCCTTAGCATTCTTAAGAATAGTGGCTATCTCAGCTCTCGCAACGTCTGCTTGGATGTGTCCTATGCCTTTGAGGGCTACATCGACCTGAGAGATGATATCCTCTACTGGTATATGTTTAGGGGTGACAGCGAAATTTAGTCCTTTAGCCAGTACCGTTTTCAGATTGTCCGAAATCGGGATGTTACTCTGATTAATAACGATTTTGTTAGCGTCCAGTTTTGTGATGTGTGGTCCTGGATTCCTCTTTGATAGGAGGTTGAATTTAGCGATCACGTTATCCCTGCATTTGACTGACAGTGAATCAGCAGAGGCAGCAGTCATGTCAACGTGGTTCCAATCACAACGGGACATTTTTTGTGTTAACATTAAACGAGATTTTAGGAGAGTCCTGTCCAAACTATCAAGTTCAAATTGGAGCACTCTGATTCTTTCTGAGATAAGTGATCGGCTAGCCTTAAACAGAATCCGTTTAGAGTTCGGTGAAGATACAACAGCAGATGCGAGTGTGAAAGCGATGGGTATTACCTTGTCACGGCATCTTTTGAGGAAGGTTAGCGTCTCGAGCTGTGACTTCTTATCTCGTCTGTTAAAAGCTCTAACAGATAGGTGGAAATCCTCCCCGTAGAGGCCATTAATTCTAGATTTGAAGCTTTCGTGACTGCAAGGATTCATACTCTTGTTGTCGCGGATTTGAAGGTTGTTGCTCTCTTGGATACACAAAGTACTGCTGTTTTCTCTGCAAATGGGATAGTTGCCTGAAAGATTCCCACTACATCAAATAGATTGGCCACTCTGACAGTCATTGGAGCCTGAGAGGATATGTGTTCAGCATCCACCACTTGTTGAATCAAGGAAGATTTTGTTACCACCCTTACACATCAAGCTGGGTCTGATGAAGAACTTTGTCAAAGCCATGGACAAAACAAGCAGCTTTCAAGTACTTCCGTAGAAAATTTCCAAGGTTAAGTGAAGCTAAGATGAAGGAAGGTGCTTTTGTTGGTTCTCAGATTCGGGAACTTCTTTGAGATTATTAATTTGACGGTGCACTGCGTGGCAAGGAAAAGACAGCATGGAAAGCCTTCCAGTTAGGGGCAACAATTTTTTTTGGAAACAAAGCAGACAACTCCAGGGAGTTGGTGGAAAACCTCCTCAAAGCCTTGGTTGCAACATGTCACTAAAGATACATTTGTTGCACTCTCATCTAGATTTTTTTTCCCACCAAACTGCGGAGCAGGGAGCAACGAGCATGGCGAGCGATTTCACCAGGACATTGCAAAAATGGAGAAACGCTATCAGGGCAAATGTAGCCCATCAATGCTTGCAGACTTGCTGGACAGTGACAAGAGATGCTCCATTTAAAGAATACAAGAGACAAGTCAAGACGCACTGAGTAGACACTGAATAAGGACTAAGCTATGTGGTTATACATAATAGTTTTTTGCCTTTTGTTTCGTAATACATTTTATGTATATAACCCTTTTGCTGATTTTTAAAGTGTTATATGAACAGGACAGGTGACCTGTTATAATGTAAAGCAACCATAAACACATGAAAAGACCGAGGTTTACAATTTATGAGTAGAACTCTACTATATACACAATGTACATAGACGTCAAATAAAAAAAAATATCTTGGGAACAGTAGCCAATAAGTTGTTTTAATTGTCATGTTTGAAATCAGCACATCAAAATCCATAACAAACAGCACATTTCATCTCTGAAGCAGATGACGTCTAAAAAATTGTTGACCAGTTTAATCAGCACGAGACTAAAAGAACAGCAAAGAAATATTAAATGCTCCCAAATACAACTGTCAGCAGTAGCAGAACACGAGTGCCAACAAGGACACTCAGTTGATTTTCATGATGTTGAAGTTCTGTGCAAACCTAGCTACTACTGGCCAGACAAAGTGCAGATCTGTTAACAAATAGCCTGGTAAATAAATATAACACTTGTAACTAATGCAGACTTGATGCGTGTGGTAAAATATACCACCAGAATGTGTGGTTAATGCAGACTTGCAAGTGGTGTCTGTTTGCAAATTGGATGTATGTACTTCATTTCTAAACATTTTTTTAATTGCTTATCTATAATCTATTTTGTTTTCCTGTCTTACCCAACCATGTTTTTTTTGTTGTAAAAACTCATTCACCCACTAGCTCAGAACCAGGGTAGATGGCCAAACTATGCGGGGGTAAAGGCCAGTTTGAAGTGGTGAGTTTTCAAGACAGATTTAATTATATTTAATGACTCTGCCTTACTAATCAGGCTGACCGCTTCATTTGACCAGAGTGGTGAACCTGGAATGCTGGATTGGTGACGTTTGCAAGGCAGTGGGTTCAGCCTGCTTGAATAGTGCGTGGGCAAAACCTGCCCTGTCACTGAGAAAGGAGGCAGACTGACCAGTAGCTTCCAAAGTCGATGTGGGTGCCCTTGTCCTTATACAGCCAAAGCTCGCTTAGCGCTCCTCCAGATGTGTTGTTCCTGGAGAATTGAGCGCCAATCGATCAGTGCTACAAGGGGTCATCATAAGCCCATTGTATACTACATAGGGATGCGTTCCTGACAATGTTACAGCTTTAGTATGAATAATATGAGGGCTTCATTGGGGTATCGGCAATAGCACTAATAATAGAAATACTAAACATTTAATAAAAATAACGATTTATAACATGAGTATTATGTCCTATACTTACGAGTGCATTCTACTTTACTCATCCTCTAAGGTAATGGAGGGAGACAAGGTTGAAGGAGCTGCTGCACTTCTAGTCTGGGTCATTCTTAGAGAAAGGCTTCAGGACCTCCCTGATCTCTGGGTGAGGAGTCTGTGAATCTGTGTGATGAGTGGTTCTCTGTGTGATGAGTTTGTGGGTCTCTGGGTGATGAGTTTGTGTTAGTCTATGGCTCTTTGTGGCCATTTTATGGATCTTGCTGTTAGTATAACATCAAGCCCTTAATCCAGACACAGTCTGAATCATTGGATTGCGAGCCTGGCCTTGCGCATCCGTCGGCGTGCAGACGCGTGGATCACTGATGGTGACCTTTTCCCTGGCGGTCAGGATGAGAGGATGGGCTGGTATGCGTGCAGGAGTGGTTCATTACACAGTCCCTGGTGCGTTGACCAGCATCGTCTGGAAGCCTCTGACTGCCAGTCCTGCTACAGTTGTCTCTACTCTCTTGTTCTACAACTGTATCTAATACTTTGGACTGAACCTCAGCCACAACTGCTTTATTTTCCTGATATACAGAATTTAAATCTACTTCCAACTCGACCTTTCTACGTGTGGCAATAGCAGCTGCCACACATTCTTACTCAATGCGGGTTCTTTTTAGCTTCATGGCTGCCTCCCTTACACTATCGGGGGCGCGCATGCGTGCAGCCTCTGCTTTAGCACTTTCCATGGTATCATCTGCACCAGTCTTCGATATGTTTGATTTCAGTGGTTTTTCAAGATTTTGCAGCGTGCTTCGAGGAACCAACTCTCAGCCTTTTTGATTCCTGTCCAAAGCATGTTTCCACCTCCATGTTTGACGGTGGGGATGGTGTTCTTGGGGTCATAGGCAGCATTCCTCCTCCACACACGGCGAGTTGAGTTGATGCCAAAGAGCTCCATGTTGGTCTCATCTGACCACAACACTTTCACCCAGTTGTCCTCTGAATCATTCAGATGTTCATTGGCAAACTTCAGACGGGCATGTATATGTGCTTTCTTGAGCAGGGGGACCTTGCGGGCGCTGCAGGATTTCAGTCCTTCACGGCGTAGTGTGTTACTAATTATTTTCTTGGTGACTATGGTCCCAGCTGCATTGAGATCACTGACAAGATCCTCCCGTGTAGTTCTGGGCCGATTCCTCACCGTTCTTATGATTATTGCAACTCCACGAGGTGAGATCTTGCATGGAGCCCCAGGCCGAGGGAGATTGACAGTTCTTTTGTGTTTCTTCCATTTGCAAATAATCGCACAAAATGTCACCTTCTCACCAAGCTGCTTGGCAATGGTCTTGTAGCCCATTCCAGCCTTGTGTAGGTCTACAATCTTGTCCCTGACATCCTTGGAGAGCTCTTTGGTCTTGGCCATGATGGAGAGTTTGGAATCTGATTGATTGCTTCTGTGGACAGGTGTCTTTTATACAGGTAACGAGCTGAGATTAGGAGCACACTCTTAAAGGGAGTGCTCCTAATCTCAGCTAACAAGCACTCCCTTTAAGAGTGTACTCCTAATCTCAGCTCGTTACCTGTATAAAAGACACCTGGGAGCCAGAAATCTTTCTGATTGAGAGGGGGTCAAATACTTATTTCCCTCATTAAAATGCAAATCAATTTATAACATTTTTGACATGCGTTTTTCTGGATTTTGTTGTTGTTATTCTGTCTCTCACTGTTCAAATAAACCTACCATTAAAATTATAGACTGATAATTTCTTTGTCAGTGGGCAAACGTACAAAATCAGCAAGGGATTAAATACTTCTTTCCTTCACTCTAGCCCGTAAGTGTCCACTGCACATTCTGTCAATATGTTCCACTTTCCTCTGTCTTATGCCAATATGCTCAAGAAGTGCACAACTTTCTGGCACCAATCTTTTAAGCCATTCTATGTAAGGTCTTCCTCTTTCCGGTTCCTTCAATTTTTCCGAGCAACACACTTTGAAATTTACTGGATAGTGCCAGTTTCCTTCTCATCAGTGCCTACATCAATCAGGTATTCTGTGTGAAAACTTTTTCCTAGTTCTACTTTAGTCACAAGTTAGTTGCAGTACGTATCCTCTAGTACAGTAAGGTCTCAGAGTATGAGGGCTCAGTATGCGGACCCAATCATATGTGACCGACTACGATTCATACTTACACTTGTGACTTGTACTTTTGCGACAAGTACGGGGTTAGAAGCGAGTCAAATCACCCCGCCATCATGTGAACATGTATTTTGACAGCGTGTAACTGTATCGCCTGCACAAGAAACGAGTCCACTCAGCTAGCATCATATACAGTACACTCAAACAGGCGAACCTCAACTTAGGCGAATTCGCGCTTACACCGTGGTACTTTGAGGCCTTACTGTAATATATTTCGAGTCACAATATTTTCTCTGCCAGTCGTTTTCATGTCTAAGTCTCACAGGCATGCAACGCTGTACTAAACAAGCATGTTCTTAAGGTGTTCAGTTTACTCTTGTTGCTGATTTACTTGCTGCTCCAGATTTCATTAAAGCCTGCCATTACTCCTTTCGCCTTTGCGATCCTCGCTCTTATGTCTTTTGTGCAGTCGTCCCATGTCTGTAGACTTCCAAAGTATACACATTACTTTTCATTCCCAATCTTGCTGCTTTCTAGTATTACTTCTTTCTCAATGTCCTCCCATCCTAATGCCATCATATTTGTTTTTTCTACATTAATCTTCAGTCCTGCCTCCTTTTCTGGCATATTCAGCATATGCACACTTTACTGCAGTAATGCGCAGCTTTTTTCCATCAGATCTGTGTTGTTAGCGAATCTCAGGTTATTAATTTTTTTCCTTGCACAGATATTCCTGTGCCGTTTTTCGGAATGGCATCCATCACTCTTTCCATGTATGTGACAAAGTTGTTTAGTGATAGTGGATCTCCCTGTCTCATGTCTATTGTTGTTGGGAACATTCTGATATTTCCTGTCCAAACTTTAATGGTCCAAATTTTACTGCTGACTTTGACCTCTCACCTATGTCCTGCAGAATCTGCGGAATCAATATTTTTCCTATTCTGTATGATCCTAATATTGCCCACGTTTTAGCTGGCTTTGTCGAATCGAATGGTTTCTCGAACCAGATGAAACAGTTGTAAACCAGCCTATTCTTTATCTTTGCTTTCTCTGCTATGAACCTTAACATCAACATGTGATGGACTGTTCCTATTTTTCCTGAACCTTGCCTGTTCATCTGCCAAATAATCCTGCGGTTTTAATTGATTTAATAGTACTATTATTAGTATCTTCCCCATTAAGCTCATTTGTGCGATGGTTCTGTAATTTTTACCCTCCGTGAGATCTCCTTTCTTGAGTATTGTCACAAGTTTGGGTTTTGCCCACTCCGGTATTTCCTTTCTCTCCATACTTTATTGCATAGCTCATGGACTTATTTTATAAGTTCCTTCCCTCCAGATTTGATCATTTCTCTACTCATTGCGTCCACGAATAAACTCTTGTTTTTCTTGAGATGTTTTTTGGCTTTTCTACTTAAAAGATGTCATCATTTGTAGCATTCCTTGGTGGTGGGGATATCTTTTCAAATTCATCCAGCAGCTCATTATTCTCTTATACAAATTGCTGCAATACTCAGTCCATATATTTTTAGTCTTTTTATAAAACATTTTTTGCCTTGGTTTCACTTCCTATTCGGGCTCTGGACTAGTTTTTCCAATTCCATGGTCTTGTGTTCTCCATGCTTTACATTGCACTACATGTAATGTGTATTTGTACAGCCAACAGGTGGGATGTACAGTAGGCTTGCACAGAAAGCTGCTATTATGTAAAATTAATAAAACAATGTCAGGCTAAGATCACTTATATCAGACTCAAATTGATTAAAAACAAACAAATACAACAGGCTGGCCCGATATTAAACATTCGTAAATATGTTTACCCAGGAAAGCCTCGATTGTTTATTTTGTGTGATATAAATTTCGTAACTGAATCGATGTCCAGTTTGTAATATGAAAACATTACGATGTGGGGTTTGGCTATGCAGGTCTTGTCTGCTAAGCTTGCCCACTGTCTGTTTTCTCTTGGAATTAGTCTCAGCCTGGGTTATTGCTTTACCTCAATGAGGAGATCTTTGCTGAGTCTCAAGACTCGTTTTCAGGAGGGTTCTGCCAAGGTTGTTGCAGTAGGCAGAAATTATACTGAATGTAATCTCAATTGAGTCATCCAGGTAATTATTTCACCAGTGGGATCTTTTGGGTCAAACCAACTACAGTAAAACCTTGGATTGCGAGCATTATTCGTTCCGGAAACGTGCTTGTTATCCAAAGTACTCGTATATCAAAGCACTCGTACATCAGTTGCGATCACGTGACGCTCGGCAGACAAAGCGTATACGTACTACTCGTATTGCAAGACCTCGCTCGTTTATCAAATTAAAATGTATTTAAACATTTTTTGCTCATCTTGCAAAACACTCGCAGATCAAGTTACTCACAATCCAAGGTTTTACTGTACGTTGTTTTTGGGTTTAGCTGCAAGACACCAGAAAACCTGGATGAATCCCATGCAACATAGGAGAAGAACATGCAAACTACACTCCCTCACACACAAGATAAAGACAAAGATGCACCCTACAACTTGAACAGACTGTTGAGGCAAGTACTGTTAGCGACCACCTATGAAGGGCGAAATGACACACCAGGAGGGTGGGTGGCCAGAAACACGCCCGACTGCTGTTGTCTCTGGCCGTCTGTAGACCATGAGTGTGTCATTGTGTCTCTGTGCGTATGAGCAGGGGGCAATGTGGGGAGCGGTGACGCATTGCTTCATGCACTTTGCAACTAACTCTTTGGAGTTTGATTCCCACTCTTAGCCAACATTGGTGGCAGTGAATAGGTAAACTGGTCCTGGGCCTCCCATGGTTTGACTTAGCCTTAAATGATTACCTCTTGCAGTTTGGAAACATCATTGATAGAGACAATGACAGCCGGGTGTGGTTCTGGCCACACCACATCCTATTAATGCCATGCCAGCATTAATAGGTGCTGGTTATCAGCACTTGCATCAACAGGATATTTTGTCTCAGTGTACTTTGTTTTCGAGTGTGTAATGAGTACGTGTATTGTGTGTGCATGTGCTCTGGGTGTGTAATCTGGGGAGTAGTAGTGCAGTGGTTGGTGTGCTGTACTACAAACCCAGAGACACGAGTAAAATTCCCACTCACAGCCACCACCAGTGATGATTATTTGAACCATTCCTGTTGCCTCCCCTAGGTCGACTCAGATTAAAATCAGTACCTGGTGTGATGAGTAAGCATCGCCGCTAGGGAGACAAAGACACCCATTTGTGATGCTGGCCACCCACCCCCTCATTGCCTGTGTCAGCCTTCATAGGTGCTCACTAACAGCACTTGTCCCAACAGTCTTTTATGGCTATACAAGGGGATCCTTGTCTTGTGATGTGTGTATTGTGTGTAATGTGTATGTGTCTATCTGCAGAATTAATCGCATGGCGAAAAGACCCTCGACACAGCCTGGTGATAAAACACACCAATGTGACCAGTGTATACACAGCACGGATCGCAGTGGACGTTTGATGCAGCAACAGAGCACACATGGCCGAGAAGCCCTTCAAGTGCACTGTGTGTGCGAAGGCATTTGCTCGTTCAGAAAATCTTCATGCTCATCAAAGAACACACACGGGTGAGAAGCCGTTCAAGTGCACTGTGTGTGGGAAGGCATTTACTCTTTCAAAAACTCTTCATATTCATCAGAGAACACACATGGCTGAAAAGCCCTTCAAGTGCACTGTGTGCGCGAAGGCATTTGCTTGTTCAGAAAATCTTCATGGTCATCAAAGAACACACACGGGTGAGAAGCCCTTCAAGTGCACTGTGTGTGGGAAGGCATTTGCTCTTTCAAAAAATCTTCATGTTCATCAAAGAACACACACGGGTGAGAAGCCCTTCAAGTGCACTGTGTGTGGGAAGGCATTTGCTTATTCAGAAAATCTTCATGTTCATCAAAGAACACACACGGGTGAGAAGCCCTTCAAGTGCACTGTGTGTGGGAAGGCATTTGCTCTTTCAGAAACTCTTAAGAAACATAATAGAACACACACAGGTGAGAAGCCCTTCAAGTGCACTGTGTGTGGGAAGGCATTTGCTCTTTCAAAAACTCTTCATAATCATCAGAAAACACACACGGGTGAGAAGCCCTTCAAGTGCACTGTGTGTGGAAAGTCATTTGTTCGTTCAAAATCTCTTCAAATTCATCAGAGAACACACACAGGCGAGAAGCCCTTAGAGTGCACTGTGTGTGGGAAGGCATTTGTTTATTCAGAAAATCTTCATATTCATCAAAAAACACACACGGGTGAGACGCCCTTCAAGTGCACTGTGTGTGGGAAGGCGTTTGCTCATTCAAAAACTCTTCAAATTCATCAGAGAACACACACAGGTGAGAAGCCCTTCGAGTGCACTGTGTGTGGGAAGTCATTTGCTTGTTCAAAAACTCTTCATATTCATCAAAGAACACACACGGGTGAGAAGCCCTTCAAGTGCACTGTGTGTGGCAAGACATTTGCTCGTTCAGATACTCTTAAGAAACATAATAAAACACACACGAGTGAGAAGCCCTTCAAGTGCACTGTGTGTGGAAAGGCATTTGCTCGTTCAAAATCTCTTCAAATTCATCAGAGAACACACACCGGTGAGAAGCCCTTCAAGTGCAATGTGTGTGGAAAGGCATTTGCTCGTTCAAAATCTCTTCAAATTCATCAGAGAACACACACAGGCGAGAAGCCCTTAGAGCGCACTGTGTGTGGGAAGGCATTTGTTTATTCAGAAAATCTTCATATTCATCAAAAAACACACACGGGTGAGACGCCCTTCAAGTGCACTGTGTGTGGGAAGGTGTTTGCTCATTCAAAAACTCTTCAAATTCATCAGAGAACACACACAGGCGAGAAGCCCTTCGAGTGCACTGTGTGTGGGAAGGCATTTGCTTGTTCAAAAACTCTTCAGAATCATCAGAAAACACACACCGGTGAGAAGCCCTTCAAGTGCACTGTGTGTGGAAAGGCATTTGCTCGTTCAAAATCTCTTCAAATTCATCAGAGAACACACACAGGCGAGAAGCCCTTAGAGTGCACTGTGTGTGGGAAGGCATTTGTTTATTCAGAAAATCTTCATATTCATCAAAAAACACACACGGGTGAGACGCCCTTCAAGTGCACTGTGTGTGGGAAGGCGTTTGCTCATTCAAAAACTCTTCAAATTCATCAGAGAACACACACAGGCGAGAAGCCCTTCGGGTGCACTGTGTGTGGGAAGGCATTTGCTTGTTCAAAAACTCTTCATATTCATCAAAGAACACACACGGGTGAGAAGCCCTTCAAGTGCACTGTGTGCGGCAAGACATTTGCTCGTTCAGATACTCTTAAGAAACATAATAGAACACACACCAGTGAGAAGCCCTTGAAGTGCACTGTGTGTGGGAAGGAGTTTACATTATCAGGAAACCTAAAGAGGCATGAGAAGATCCACAAGGAGAAAGTGAAATCGACTTGTGAAAGTCAACGTGCTGCAATGAGCCCATCTCTCATGAAACGAGAATCAGAAGAAAATTCCAACTTGGCAACATGGCCAGGAGTGACAGTGAAATTTGAAGAAGTGACAGTGAAATGTGAAGAAGTGACGGTGAAATGTGAAGAAGTGACGGTGAAATGTGAAGATCAAGATTCGACTCCAGGACCCAATCTACAAGTGGATGGAGGCAGCGTGAAGCAGGAGGAGCCTTCCGATTCTGAGGGAGAGCGAGGCAATCCCCAGCAGTTTGTGGATGTGGAGGTGTGGATGGAGTTTTTGGACAAATCTGAGTAGGAGGGGCCAGCACGTGTAAAATGGCACCTTGGAAGATGTGTAACCTGGAGTTTGAGACGATTTTCCATAGCATCCGCCTTATTCACTGGTTTCTGTCATTTAAATAATGAATGGGGTTATAGGTGTCAGTCAATCAGAGATGGGCTTTCTGTGCATATGCAGTCATTGAGTGTCGAAGTGAAATAGTCGATATGCAAAGCATTATGCTGCCGTTTAAAACATGAATTAGGAATGTATTTTGATGGTTACGTATTAAATGAATAAGCATGAATTGTAACTGTTGGACATTACTATTAAAGTGGCTGTCAGGTGTGGCCGTGCTTTTCTGGATGCTCTCAATTTGTTTTTACGATTGCTTTTTAAATATCCTTAAAAAAAAGAAAAGGTAAGCATTTTTGTAATAGTTACATTTGGCTTCATACACTAAATATATGTTCATAATATCAAAACAATTTGATGTCAGGCCTACTTACTGCACTTGTTTTGCTTTTAATCCCGTTGGGTTTCATTTAATTGGTCTTAGCCTGATGATACTTTTTTAATTTTATATGATGGTAACAACAGGGGTCTGCAAGTCTACTGTACATCCCACCTGATGGCTATACGCACCATTCATAGTATAGTTATTGTGGTTTAGAGTGAAGTGTATTGTTAAGTGTACAGTGCATAGTATGTGGCAAGTTTTGTGATGTGTGGTGAAATGTGTGTATGTATGGTGGTGTATAGTATGTCTACAGTGCAGTGTGTAAGAAGCCGGCTTCGGCTTTTCACGTGACGAATCGCACGCAATGTATCACTGCACTCATACGCGAGTTGCAGTCCAAAGGTGTTGAATGAGAGTAAAGTTCTGCATCTTAACGCTGCATGCCACTTGCAGTGAGGCGTATTGTACGCCATGCAGTTGCTGTAGCTGGTGTGAACTTACCTGTGATGAATCGCACGTGTAATTGTGCACTCTGCAATGTTGCTGTAATTGCTACGTAGAGCCAGGTGCTGGTGTTGTTTTACTATACGAATAGGTAATGTTCAGAGCATGCCACGCCCATCAGTGTGTAGACTTTTCAAAGTACAGGGAACACGCCCATTTCATATTTGAGGTATACTGGTGATATTCACAATTAAGACGTGGATATTAAAGTTAATTTTAATATTTCAAAATATAAATTGGTTATAATTGGTTCTAGAAAATTAACACTGGTGCTAAATCCCATCAAGAGGTACTGTGTGAAGTGGAGGGTGATAGCCGTGTGTCTGGCAATGATTGCAGGTATGATAGTTCACTTATTTACAGTTATATTTATTGCTGGTTTTTTTCACGGGAAGTTTAATAATACTATAATTTTGGCGACCTTACTCCAGCTCGTACGTCGGGCTTCTCGGCGCTTCGCGCCTCGCCCATTGCCCTCACTGATGTCCACTTCCCCCCCCCAAGTGTGCAGATACTACTGAGTTTAACACGCAAGCTTTCGCAACCAATATCCATAATACAGGTTTTTTTGGGTTAGATCGAGTAAATATATAAATGTCGTTAAACCAGCCACAATCCGACATAGCCAATTAGTAAGGTTTGTCACCTAAACAGAAAATAGCAATTTGTTACTAGTACAGCAAAGTGTTTTAGAGCCAAGCCACAACATTTAGAATTTGAGTACGATGTTTTTGCTAGTAATTACAACTATCTTCATCAGGCGACAGCCAGGTTTGTGAAGAAGTCCACCTGTTTCCTGAATTAAATTTCTGCTCACGGTCACCACCAGTGAAGATTAAACCATTCTTTGGACTTCCCGAGGTGGACTCGGCCTAAAATGAGTGCCTGTTGCCAGTGGCGTTACTCGGGGGTGCGGAGGGGGTGACACCGAAATGACAGACTATAAAATTTTTATATTCTTGGTTTTCACACCTGATGATGACTGTTACAGTCGAAACGTCGTGAGAATTTTATTGTTTTATATATTTTATTTTTTTATTGTTTCCCTTCAACGTGTCTTTTCCAAAAGAACCAAGAATATGAATCACTGCAGTCACAAAAAGCTTTAAATCAAAATATAAAATTTTAGTGCAGTGTTTCAGCAGAAATGTATAATTTTTTTGTAAAAATATCCCTGTTATAACAACAAAAACATTTTTTGTAAGCCCAGCTTACATGTACAGTATTAATATACCTACAAGGCTAAAACTCTATTCTAATTTACTTTTTGAACCTTCCAATGTGCTCCAGTCAGAGCTGTCATTATTTCCAAATTACAATGATGCTTCGAATCACGTTGTTTCGTCTGCACGTGCTACAAGCACGCACTGCTGTTTTAGTTGCCGCTGGTGTTTTTCTAGTCGCTGATTTTGTCACATTTTCTGGTGTTTTGGCTACAATATTTTGGTAATTAGCGTTTGTGAACCGATATCAATAACTTTTCTGAGAATAAAGTAGTAATTAAAGGAAAAGGAGAATAAGGCTTCTGCCCAGTTACGAATAATGTTTTAACTAATAATAATGCAATTTATAACGCGCGCAAATTTGCGGACGTAACGGCCGCAACTCAGAGGCGCAGTGCCTTGCTCAGAGTCGCTCGAAAGCATAGTTGTAGAGGTGAGTTCTTATGTGTCTCTTGAAGGAGACGATTGAGGTGATACTGCGAATGTGCAGAGCGTTCCAGACTTGGAGCTGCCACCGAGAAGCGCTGCATAGACGTGACCATCCTGGATCTTGGTATCAAGAGGAGGTCGTGAGTCGCGCTGCGCAGGCATCTGCCGTGTGCTGAGCTGCAAGTCGTCAATAATGAAGAAAGGTACGGCGGGCAGGCAGATGTGAAGGCATGGTGGCAGAGGCAGGTGATCTTGTATATGACCCTGCTGGTGATGGGTAGCCAGTTGAGGGCACGGAGACAGGCAAGTGAGTCGAGACGGGGATGAGTATGGCCAATGACGACGTGTGTTAGGTTGTTTTGTAGTCTTTGAAGTTTTTTTAGGTTGTCAGTGGAGGTCTGGACTAGGACGGAGTTGCAATAGTCAAAGCGAGACCCAACTATGCAACATGCCAATGTGTTGGCAATTTCAGTGGAGATGAGAGGTCGTAGGTGTCTGAGAGCCTTCAGGTGAAAGTTACATGAACTGATATGATTGGTTTGACGGTCGAGGGATAAAGTTGAATCTAGGATGACACCGAGGTAGCTGAAGTGATCGGTGAACCTAATGCTGTGACCAAAGATGTGTTTGTGTGTTGGGAGTGCTGATGAGTTGAGACGTTGCTTGGTACCTAACATGATTGCCACTGACTTTTTCGGATTAAGGGCTAAGGTTGTGTTGCAGTGAACCACTTGCAAAGAGGTAGTACATTCCGAGAGCCTCTCGAATCCAGATGCATCGCTAGAGTCGATGGCGGTGAATAGAATAGTGTAATCCGCGTATGAGTGGTGCTTAACACCGAAGTTTGCGATGAGCTGGCCGATCGGGGAAGTGTAGGCTGTGAAGAGCAGGAGACCTAGGACGGAGCCCTGAGGAACCCCGCATAATGATTTTGTTTCAGGCGATGTGGACGTGCCCACCCTGACTGAAGATCACCGGTCAGAGAGGTACAAAACTATCCACTTGAGTGCTGAGCCACATATACCAAAGTTGGATTTCAGGAGGGACGTAAGGAGCGAGTGGTTGATGGTGTCAAAGGCTGACGAAATGTCCAGACTTACAAGTGTAACAATGGAGGCGGAATCAATAATCATTAAAATGTCATCGAGCACTCTCGTGAGTGCTGTTTCTGTGGAGTAGTTTTGACGGTAAGCTGACTGGAAGCAGCAGTAGTTTGGGGAGGAGGTGATGTGTGGTTTTAGCTGGGCGAGGGCTAGTCATTCAAGGAGTTTAGAGAGGTTCGAGAGATTAGCGATGGGACGATAACTAGATGGGTCATCTGGGTCAAGACTTGGTTTCTTTAACAATGAGGAAACCAGGCCAGATTTGAGGTTGGACGGAAAACACCCCATAGAGAATGAGGCATTAGCGATGTTCCTGATCATGATGGCGAGTTTTGGAGCATATTGCTTGAACAAGGAACCTGGGAGCACATCAAGTGGAGATGACTTCAATTGAAGTGATTCAATTAAAGAGAAAACGGCTGTTTGTTGACACCGGCTTGAGGGTAGTTCGAAAGGTGTCTGGGTGAATGCTTACAATTTCAGGAAACTGGAGCAGAGTACAATGGTGCGATGTGTAGGTAGACGTGCAGGAGTTTGCGATGGTGATCAGCTTGTTGGTGAAGTAAGTATTAAAAGAGGTGGCAAGTTTCAGTGAGGTCAGGTGATCGCTAAGGTGAGGGACAATGGTGCTACCAGGATGTAGAAGATTTTTGAGGGTTTTCCATTGAATGCGTGGTTTTCCGGTTGCAGTTTTGATGCGTTCTTCAATGTAGGAGGAATGTGAGACAAGGATAAGTTTGTTAGTTTTCCTGCAGGCAACTCTGTAGGCAAGTCGATCAGCAGGTAGACCACTGCGGGATGCGATACTTTCAATGCGCCTCCTGGTTCGCTTAGCAATGATGCATCTCTTGAGAGCCAGTGAGTGTCGTGGGAAGACTGCCTAGCGGTTCGTGATTTTAATGGAGCCAGTTTGTCCAGTGCCGCCCTTATGTCAGCTTCTGGTTGGAGAGCGCAGACGGTTGTTTCCGATGATGGGGATAACATTGAAGGCGAATTTGCGAGGAGGTGGTGTAAAGCAGAAAACAACCGCTAAGCCACCACCCCGCTGGTTAGTTGCGCGAGGTTTATCAAGAACCTTGTACCCCGGGGGGTGCAACTTCCAGAGAGATAGCTTGCGGGGAGTCTTGCCTGCACAAGGTCTCGGTAATGAGCAAAAGGTCGATGTGGTGGTCCGAGATGGTATCGTGAATCAGGGCTGATTTGTTGGTAATGGAGCGTGAGTTGAGTCGGCCGAGGTGGATGTGTGAAGGTGGATGTGAAGATCCGTAGAGGCGAGGCGTCGAGAGATTCGAGGAGATGGCTGGTTGAAGGTTGACCTGTGAACGGCGGCCCCTACCACCTCTGCATCCACGGTGCCGATGCAGTCTCTGACGTTGACCTCGAAGAAGCCCGAGGCCAGAAAACGTCCTCAGGAGCGCAGGTTCCAGGTGCAGGTGATGATGAGATGGTGCATGTCGAAGCCCTATTATATCAGCCCATGCTGTACCGATGGTGGTGATGAGGCAGCAGGCAAACCAGCTCTCTCGTGTTGAGGTGAGGACAGTCTGCTTCTCACGTCCCCACTCGCTGATGGTATTGAACAGTGGATGGAGCGTGTCGAGCTCCCACTTGCTGGCAATGCTGGGGCACACCAAGCTCCCACTCACTGATAGTACC